ATGGTGAGGGTTGGGCCGGATGGATGCGCACTTCATAATATTTTGTTGTATAGAACGGCGAGGGCTGGGTCGTATAAGTGTGCGTTGTGCTTAGATGACAGCCACGTTTGGAAAGCGAGCCGGCCTCCATTTTCTTACAGCGCTGCATTTTTTAAAGACGAATGTGCGCGGCGCTCAGGCGAGAGCCATATTTTGAAAACGGACTGGCCTCCATCTTTGAACATGTGCAAGTGTTCAAGACGCGTGTGCGCGGCGAGATGGCGAGAGCTTCATTCTGAAAACCACCCGGTTCCCATCCCTGAAATTGCTGCAGATCTCAAGCTTCAGGATCATGATTGGTGCGGAAGTCTCAGGCGAAGCGCCCAGCCCGGCTTACGGACACGTCTCGGTGGCTCGACAGGGAGGAGTGATTAATCAAGAAAAGGAATGGAGGAGGAGGAGACAGAGGAGGAAGGGAAAAGGGAAAAGCGGAAGATCGGGACAAATCGGAACCAGAGATTCTGGGAGAGTTCCAAAGAAAAATAGAACGCCGAATTGTGGAGCGCAGCGCGCGCATTCGCAGAAGTTCCCCAAGGACTTCTCGAGGGCTTGAGGAGCCCAAGTAACGCATGGGCGCTCAATTAAACTGTTGAGGGCGGGCAGAAAAGCTGGTGTGCACGAGCATTGGGAGCGGGTGCGCGGCTTGCACGGGGGGCGCAGTAGGTTTGCGTTTCAGGGGCTTGGGCGCTGGCCGATGCGTTGATGGGGGGCCCGAAAGTGCGTCACACATATTACGCCTGTGGCGCCATGGAGGCCGCATGTGCGGTTGCAGTGGGGCGGGCGCCCCGCCGCGCGCACCGTCGCGACAGCTCTCTTGGGCGCCCGCCAGCCGCCGTGGACGTAGTGGGCCCAGCTAGTCTCGCGGTCGGCGCGCGGCGGGTCGGCGGCCACGACGCTGGCGGCTTGAAAATGCTTCGAAAGTGTTTCTCCCCGAGCCCGGGGCTATTGCACGTTTTCGGTGGCACGCGCAGCTCGGGAAAGAATCGCCTTGTCTGTCGGCGGCCAGTTGGCTGTCGTCGCGCAGAAGTACCGGCGGATGGCGCGGTCCACGCTCAGCGCAGAGAGCATGTCCGTGAGCGTGGACTCGTCGAGGGGCAGGAGGAAGGACCTCGCGGTCGGGACCATCGCGGCCTGCGATGTCCACGGCCCCCACCCTCGGCGCGTGAGGACCTGCTGGGCGCCGCCGCAGGCCGATTTCAGAGAATCTCGGGACGGGAAATCCGGGCGCGCCAAATTTCGCGGGCCGAAAAACTCTCAGAGAGTTTCGGCCAGCTCCGAGGTTTTGGGTTTATGGGAACGTTTCACGCGGGGTGTCTAGTTCAGAGATTTTCAGAGATTCTCAGAGAAGTCCGGACGCGAGAATTTGGCGCGCCCCGTTTTCTGGTTCTGTGAATCTCTGAAAAGCGGTTCCTCAGGTTTTACCGGATCTCCAGGCGTCCCACTGTCAGCCAGAGACGAGCGACTGGCTGGCGCCGCGCCCGATGCTTCCGGAGTCGCGAACTCGGTCCTCGATTCCCTGGGGCCCGCGGGCCCCTGGGCCAATCGCGAGGTTGCCGAAGCCCCCGGGCGGTTGCGCGCGATTGTCTCCGAAACCGGAGTTGGGCATCCATGGTGGACGCCGGCGCGTGCGCGCTAGGTGTCCGCCAGATTATTCGGTGGCGGATATTGCGTGGTGCGGGGGCCTTCCGAAGACTTTCCGGGGTTTTCTTTACGGTTATTTCGGCGCGCTTCGGGGACCTTGGGGCGGCGCGGGGAAGTCGCCAGGCCGCGCGCGGGCTCTTTTTCCAATGTTTTCTCGGGCATTCTCGCGGTGTTGCGTGGCCGAAGAGGTTACTGAGTATTGCGCTTTTTGACATTTACACGTGTTTTTCGTTTCGTTGATTGCGTGATTGTTTTGGCGGTCCGCCTCTTTGGGGCCCCCTTGGGGCCTCAAGTTTGTTTTGCTGACGTCGGGTCTTCTGGAGTGAAAGGAGCTTGGCGCTGAATTCCCTCGGGCGCGCGCGTGGCCAAATACGCGCCGTGGCCCCATCTGCGCCGGGGCGCATTCCTTCCCTCGCGAAGCCGATGGCGCCCAAGGCGTGGCAGGCCCGTTCGGCGGCGCCCCCGGTGATTTGAAAAACCGAGCATGATTTTTATCCCGGTCAAACTTTGCCCCTGCTCGTCCTCCTCAGCCTGAGGAGGACGAGCAGGAGGAAGAGGAGGAGGAGGAGGAAGGATTTTGCCATCACGTAGAGGAGGAGGAGGAGGAGGACAGGAAGAAGGAGGAGGAGGAGGAGGAGGGAAGAGGCAGAGGACGGAGGGGGAGGACCTCTGACTGAGCTCTCGACCCTGCGCCGAATTGGGGCAAGGAGTCTCTGACGATGAGAACGGCCTCGACGGCACATCTGCCAGCGAGCCATCGTGACGGCGACGGACAAGGCGAGGCGGAGGAGGGACTAATAATGAAGATTTGGAGGATGTGGAGGCGCAGGCTGAGGGGGAAGGAGGAGGAGGAGCAGCAGCAGCAGCAACAACAGCAGCAGCGTCAGCAGGAGCAGGAGGAGTAGGAGGCTTCTTCCACCGCTGGCCAGGGGGCACCCAGGGTCTCGGTTTCCAGACGAACCGACCGCAGCGTCAAGGTGTCGAGGAGGAGGAGGAGGAGGAGGAGGAGGAGGAACAGGTGGAGGTCAGTTGCGGCGATCGTTTCGATCAGCGTTGGTGTACTGTAAAGGAGGAGGAGGGGGAAGAGGAGGAGGAGGAGGAGGAGGAGAAGAACCAGAGGCTCCGGCTCGGCTCTCGACGCCTCGCGAGGCCGCATCAGTCTTTGAGGAAGGGCACGTCCTCGGCTGCGCGTCGGCAAAGGCAGACTACACGGTGACGGGAGGACCGCATCGGCAGGACCGCACACGGCCAACCGATCGCGGTTGGAAGCTGCGCGCCGGGAACACGCAGCGCTGGGCGGGTTCGATCGCGCGCCTCCCTGGGGGCGGTCCCCCTCTCCTGCGAGGAGAGGGCTCGTTCGATTCGATGGCTCGGTGCTGCAGGCGATCCGGGGCGGCCTTCGGACGGCCACGGTGCCCGCCTCGATCCGCGGGGATGTCTCTCGTGTCGGGCCGAACGAAAGGGGGGGATAGGGAAAGGGGGGGGTTAGAAATCTGCTGCATGCAGCTGGTTTCGGCCCGCCGCCGGGCCCATTCCCCGATGCATGGGCGCCTCCCGGCGCCGGGAGCCGCCGGGAAAGTCAGCTACGTGAGCTGATTCTCACCCCCCCCCTTTGCTATCCCCCTCCTCCTCCTCCTCCTCCTCCTCCTCCTCCTCCTCCTCCTCCTCCTCGCCCTCCTCCTCCCCCTCCTCCTCCTCCTCGTCCTCCTCCAGATCGCCCTCCTCCCCCCTCCTCGCCCTCCTCGCCCCCCTCGATCCGCGGGGCTGTCTCTCGTGGCGCGGGCCGTTCGCGGGCGACGTCTCGCCGCCTTCCGCCCGCCGCGCGCCACAGGTGGAGTTCCCCAACGCGTCGGAGGAGCGCCTGCAGGTGCCCCCTGCGATGCCCTCTTGCGGCTCCTGGCGTTAGGTCGGGCCCGTCCCCCTACAGGCCGACTTTCGACGAACAAATATTATATTTATATATATATATATATATAAATAAAACAAAGAAACAACCCCCAAAAAAACTGAAATACACTACGAATGCTCAAAGATGGTCAAAAAATAGTCCCCAGACTATGTTTTGACCATTTTTGGATCTCCCCCCTGTAGAGGGTCAGGCCCGACTTCACTCTGGCGAGGTCCAGGGACGGAGGCGAAGCAGTGCTCTGCCAGAGGACCCACGCTGGATGCCGTTTGCGGAAGGTGTGGTGGGCAGAAAGGTGGGCCGACATGCTTGTGTTCCCAAACGTATTTTCCCGGGCTTCGTTCCCGCTTACACTGAGTTTCCCACTTGCTCCCGTGCCTTGCTCTCACTCCAGGTGTCCTTCCTGTATTGATTTCGCTACCATTCGCTCGCGCCACACGTGTGAGCAAGTGTGCTCCCCCTTCCTCTTGCTCGCATGTGTTCACTCGAGATTTGTTTGGCGATTCGCACGGCCCCCCGTGCCACCCTTGAGGGAGCGAAGACGGAGGAGGAGGACAAGGATCGCCTCGCAACGATTCGGAGTTGCCATTCTCCACGGCAGAATGGGTCGTGGTCGCGGTGGTCGGCAGGAGTGGCAATTGACCACATGGTCATCTGAGTGGTCGGGTTGGCGCACTTGCAGGGACAAAGAGTAGGGTTGGCTGGACGAGGGCGGCCATGGGCAGATGTTTCCCTTGGAGTGTGCCACGGGCGAAATCGTCCTTGCTTCAGTGGAATGTGGCCACATGTTTTTAGCATCGCGATCGAGCGCATCAGTCACATCAAACCAAACATGTCTTGGCCCAAACTGGCGAAGGTTAGAATCAAAGTGATTCAAATGATGCATTTTGGGTTCCAGCAGGGCGCAGGTACACATACCCATGGTCCGTGCTTACCATATGTATATACTTTGTGATATGGTGTGGAGAAGTGGAACCCCCATCTCAGCTTACCAGCTTTGATCTTGCGCGTCGGCCAGATGCTACTGGGGGCGATTACTCTGTGATGGCGCCAGTGGGGGGCTACATGTGCAGTGTGCCGATTGTCATGCCAATCGGTGTTGTCATGGAAATCCTCCGCACTTGTATTGTCACTGTCATTGAGCAATTGCACGCGATTGGTCGCGAGGCCCTGCTCTTCACAGGCATCGCGACTGCCTCGCGACTTTCGGGCGGCTGCACTGGTTCTCCAAAGGCTGAGCTGCCGTTGCAAGGCGAAGTCGCAGTCGGATCGGCGACGATGTCAGCGGAAGAGCTCGAGTCTCTGACGATAACGGCCACAGCCAATAACTACCTACGCAGGGCGAAGGGTGTTCCTCTTGAGGCGCCAGCGGCGATAAGCGGTTGGCGAGAAAGCGTCGGCGCCACCAAATGCGCGTTGTTTGGCGAATTTGTCTGCAGCAGCCAGAGGGTGAGGAGATCGGGATTCATGTTGTGTGCGACCCGTTTGCGGCGAGGGTTGATAGGGTCCGTGAGACAGCGCGCGACCTGTTTGCGGCAGTTCGTAACCAAACCCTTTTCGTGTGAGTCGGATCCGTGCGAAAAAAGCAAGACCGACATCAGATCTACAACATCTGCAGTCGGATCCGCGTGGACGGAAACGGGACCCATTGCAACACGAGTCCGAACATAATTCGGATCCGTATTGATTTTGATGTGATCCGCCAAAGTTTATCTCATGCGCGTTGGCGCACGAGTTGAAGGCATCATGTCCGAACCCAGGAGGAAACACATGTCGTCTCGGGGATGTCATTGCGCGCGGCAGCCCTTTGGCCGTCCAGCCTGAGCGATCGCCTGCTTTGCGTTTGTTCTCAGGGGTCTCATCGTGCTGGCGGATGTCACGAGGGCGTATGGGTTGCCGCGAACCCTTGACAGCGGCGCGCGGATGCCGCTTATCCATCCCCATACGACGGCGGCGCCAGTCGCAGCAGTTGAACGAGACGTTTCAGATGTGCGACACCTTCTGGATCCCACCCCACGCTGGCATGCTCGGCGACTTTTTCGACTGGGTGCGTGCAGGCTTTCCTGTCGCATTGCCTACAAGGCGGCTTCGGAAAAGAGGGCCATACATCTGGTCCAGATGAGTTCTTCCAGATCGATTCGGCCACACGTGCCATGGTGTCAAGGTGTTGCAGCGAATGGCTCCCCGAACAAGCGCATACAGGTTGATGTTGACGAAGAGTTCGATCTTAGCGGCGGCGCCCACAGCTCGCAGCCCCATTCGTCAAATCGTGTCAGAAGATCCCCCACACGGGCATCGGCGAGGCGCGTCTCAACCACACCGAAGGCGCGGTGGCCGGTTCCATCGCCGTCCAAACCGCCGTGAACTGCGAATCGTGTGGAGGAGCCTGGCGTCATCAGCGGGGTCGCGATCGAGTCAGTCGTGGTCCAGCGCATCGTGGGGAACAACACATGCGTGCGCGGCCACGCTTCCAGAAGCACGGACGGGCCCGAGATAATTCGAAAGCGCAGTTTTCCGTGCTGGCCATGCATAACTTCCTAGGTGAGGTGCAAAGTACGGTGGATTGACATACCCTTTCAACTTCATATCATATGGTGTCCTCCCTATCGTCCCTCTGCTGCCTCTACAACTCATTCCTTTCCCCCCTCTGCCGCCTCCTCCTCCTCCCTCCTGTTCCCTCGTCGTCGTCTTCCTCCTCATCTGGCGAGATCCTGCCAGGACCAGCACTTACCAGGATCCGCGAATTGGCTGTCGCAATGTTGTCAGATATGCGCGCTCGTGTCCAGAGCGGCCTCCTCTTCCTCTTCGTTCCTTTTCCTCCTCGCCCTCCCTCCTCTTTCTCCTCCCTTCCCCTCCCTTCTCCTCCCTACTCCTCTCCTCGGCCCCTCCCCTCGTCGTCCTCCTCTCGCCGTACTCCTCTTGCGGCCCCGATCCCCACCGAAGCGGGGGGGAGGGAGGAGAAGGGAGGATGAGGAGGAGGAAGCGAAGGCCAAGAGGAAAAAGACGATGGAGGAGAATGGAAAGGGATGGAGGGGGGAGGAGAAGAGGAGAAAGGAGAAGGAACGAGGAGGAGGAGGACGACGACGACGAGGAGTAGGAGGGAGAGCAGCAGGAAAACCCGTTTGGGTGGACGGGTGGTAACTAGTACGACAGAAGTAGGAGGCTCTGACGGCAGTGCTTTTGGGCCGCTCCCGCACCCCCTCCAGAGAAATGGTGGGTTTCTCGGAAGAGGGCCTGCGCATGTGAAATGTTCCCCATACGTTTCGCCCATGCGGCAGTTTGAAAACGCCTCGATGTCGCTGTAGGTTGCCTTTTCGGGCCTCCTCGGAGCTCCCTGGGAGCCTCTGGGGGCCTCTTGGAGGTTATTTAATCGCTTCGCTCATTCCGCCGGCCCATATTGTCGCACAGTTGTGGGCTAGCCGAGTTTTGGGGCCTCTTGGGGGCCGTTTTGGGGCCTCTTGGGGCCTCTTTTGGGCCTCTTGGGCGCCTCTTGGGGCGTCTTGGGGGCCTCTTGGGGGCCTCTTGGGGCCTTTTTGGGGCCTCCTGGGCGCCTTCTGGGGCGGAGGGCTCGATTTTTCAGTTCTCGGTTCCCCTCTTGAGCCCCTCTTGGGCCCGTCTTGGGGCCTCTTGGTCCGTCTTGGGCGGCACTTGGGCCGTCTTGGGGGCCCTCCTGGGCCGTTCCGGGGCCGTCTTGGGAGCCTCGTGGGCCGTCTTGGAGCGGTCTTGGGGGCCTCTTGGGCCGTCTTGGAGCGTCCGGAAGCCGAAAAAGCCAGAACGCAAAAAACAGCGAAAAAAACAATGAAAATCAACGATTTTGGCCTCTTGGGGCCCTCTTCGGAGGCCTCTTGGAAGGCCCTTGGGGCGTCTTGGAGGCCTCTTGGGCTGTCTTGGGGCCCTGTTGGGCGTCTTCGGGCGATCTTTGGCCGTCTCGGGGCCCTCTTGGACCGTCTTGGAGGCTTCTTGGGGGCCTCTTGGCCCGTCCTGGGGCCCTGTAACAGGGCTCCGGCATCTCTGGCCCGACCTTGCGGGGACCTTGCCGGGGACCTTGCCGGGGACCTTGCCGGGGACCGGCCGGGACCTGGTCGGGGTACTTTTCGTCTGGGGACCCCCAGGGGCCGCCCCGCGCGCGCGAAGTAGAAACATTGTAGAGCAGTTACCGGAGATCTTAGCACGCCTCTGGCCCGTTGGGCCGGCGAATTCGGGGCAACCTGGGGGCGGCTTGGGGCCGAGAGCTCGAAAAGTATCCCGCTGGGTCCCCTCTTGGGGCCGTCCTGGGGCCCTCTTGGGCTGTCTTGGGGCTTATTGTGCCATCTTGGGATACTCTTGGAACCCTCTTGGGGGCCCACTGGGCCAGCTGGGAGCGATATTGAAGGCTTCTTGGGCCGTCTTGGGCGCTATGAAAGGCGAAGAGGCGACGATGCTAAAAAATAGCATTTTCCCAAAGGAATGGGACGATGTTTGGTTCTTGAGGCCCTGTTGCGACGCATCTTGAGGGCCTCTTGGAGCGTCTTGGTTGCATCTGGCGCCGTCTAAAGGCTATCGTGGGCGTCTTGGAGCGATCTTTCGGCGACTCGTGGCCCTCTTGGACCGTCTGGGGGGCCTCTTGGACCTTCTTGGCCGGTTTTGGGACTCTTTTCTCCCCCGTGGCGCGTTCGGGCCAGGCCCGGGGGGTGTCGAATTCCCGGTTTGTGGTCCCTGGAGGGGGATCATGGGGGGGGGAAGAATCTCACACGCCTAGAGACCCACAAGGGGTCGGCGGATTTGGGATGATGTGGTGTTCTTTGTTCGGAGTTCGGGTTCGGTAACAGAGCTCCAAAAGATCAGGCGCACCAATCATGGCAAACGTGTTCTACGACGTCCAAGCTGTCGTTATGGGGTTGGTTTGGCCACACACTTGCTGACAAGTTAGCGGGGAGAAGTGCGAAGGCTCACTCTTCCAACCCCGACTTGGAACGAAGGCGCGTAGATAGCCGCGACTCGGTGCGGTGTGTGTGTGTGTCTGTGTGTGTGTTGTGTGTGTTGTGTTTGTGTGTTGTGTGTGTGTGTTGTGTGTGTGTTGTGTGTGTGTGTGTGTTGTGTGTGTTGTGTGTTGTGTGTGTTGTGTGTGTTGTGTGTGTTGTGTGTTGTGTGTGCTGTGTGTGTGTTGTGTGTGTTGTGTGTGTTGTGTGTGTTGTGTGTGTTGTGTGTGTGTTGTGTGTGTGTTGTGTGTGTGTTGTGTGTGTTGTGTGTGTTGTGTGTGTTGTGTGTGTTGTGTGTGTTGTGTGTGTTGTGTATGTGTGTTGTGTGTGTTGTGTGTGTGTGTGTTGTGTGTGTTGTGTGTGTGCAAGTTTATTGACGCCTTCGGCAAGTATCTGTCTGATTTCGGTGTTCCCGATGTCCAGCGGGGGAAGGAAGCCCGCAGGTCCAGATTGGATTTTCTGTTGCTTGCCCCCGATCCCCAGGGCCGTGTTTCGCTCCGGGATGGCAAATCAGGCACGTATTATGTTTTCTGTTGCACCCGCTGCGGAGCCCGAGGGCCATCCGAGAGGGCCGTCCGTGCTACGCCGTGCACTGGCCTGCCGGGGCTAGCCCGCTCGGCTGACCAGAGCCACAGGCTGTGGCTCATGGGCTCCTCGCCGGTGTGGTGCTCTGCGTGTGCTGCCATCAGGAGTTCGCGTCTCCGCTTGCTTCGTGGGGCCTGTCTTGGGCCCCCCCCCGAAACAAGGACGGAGCGAAGACCTTGAAGCTGCTCAGAGAGGGGAAGGGTCCGCCGACTAAGCGAGTACCACCTCGCCATCACTGAATTGCTGAATGTCAGGTTATCTGTTTAGACATTGCGTGTCGCGTTTCACTTGGAGGCAGACGTTCCGCAGTCTGAAGGAGCCTGGAGGGTGAGCAGCAGGAGGTGAGACGGGGGAGACGATGACTCGGGGTGGTTGGTGAGTTGAGACGAGCGAGCGGCCCGAAACCAGGCTTGAGCGAAGGTCATAAGGGGGCAATTCAAGGCCTTCCCCCCCCCCCCTTGGCGTCGGAGAGGGCCGAGGCTCGCCGGAGTCGATATCGCTCTCCTCGGAGTCTCCTGCCGGGGAAAAAGCGCGCCCGCGCCGTGCCGAGAGCGCCCCGCACGCGGGCTCGGTGCAGCTTGACCGACGGGGCGCGCGGGAGCTCCGAGGAGCGAGGCTTCAGCCAGGCGGATTCCGGAGCCGAAGGCCGCGCCGATGGGGAGCCATCCAACGCCCCGCAGGGAGACCGAGCCCCCCGAGCCCGCGGTGTTCCCGACCTCGCGGGCGATCTCCTGCGTCTGCTCACGGACCCTGCGAGGCACCCCTCCGTGTGGACGGTCGAGCACAGGGTGCTCTGCCCGGGTCTTGTGTCAAGTCGGGCCTGTCCCTCTACAGGAGGGATATTCCAAAATAGTCCCAAAATAGTCTGGGGACGATTTGTTGATTACTTTTTCTGGTAATTTAAAAGGAAATTTCTGAATATTTCCCAACCCTCCTGCGTTGGGTTCTCGCTTTGAATAGAGCAGTTGCGGTCGCGACTCCTTTCCTCTCCTCTCCCGCCCCCTCCTCCTTTTCTCTTCCCCCTTGCTTCCTACCTCGCTCGCTCCTGCGTGCCAGTTTGTCTCCTACCTCGCCATCCCTGGGGGGCTGCGATCTGCGAAACTGTCACCACTTTCGAGGGCTGCTGGGGGGCCCAGCGGGGTGGAGTCATGCGCAGATTCAGATTAGACCTCGCCATCCCTGAGGGGCTGCGATCTGCGAAACTGTCGCCACTTTCGAGGGCTGCTGGGGGGCCCAGCGGGGTGGGGTCATGCGCAGATTCAGATTAGACCTCGCCATCCCTGGGGGGCTGCGATCTGCGAAACTGTCGCCACTTTCGAGGGCTGCTGGGGGGCCCAGCGGAGTGGGGTCATACGCAGATTCAGATTCGACCTCGCCATCCCTGGGGCACTGCAATCTGCGAAACTGTCGCCACTTTCGAGGGCTGCTGGGGGGGCCCAGCGGAGCGGGGTCATACGCAGATTCAGATTAGACCTCGCCATCCCTGGGGGGCTGCGATCTGCGAGACTGTCACCACTTTCGCAGGCTGCTGGGGGGGCCCAGTGGAGTGGGGTCATACGCAGATTCACATTAGACCTCGCCATCCCTGGGGGGCTGCGATCTGCGAAACTGTCGCCACTTTCGAGGGCTGCTGGAGAGCCCAGCGGAGTAGGGTCATACGCAGATCCAGATTCGACCTCGCCATCCCAGTGGGGCTGCGATCTGCGAAACTGTCGCCACTTTCGGGTGCTACTGGGGGGCCCAGCGGAGTGGGGTCATGCGCAGATTCAGACTAGACCTCGCCATCCCTGGGGGGCTGCGATCTGCGAAACTGTCGCCACTTTCGAGGGCTGCTGGGGGCCCAGCGGAGTGGGGTCATACGCAGATTCAGATTAGACCTTGCCATCCCTGGGAGGCTGCGATCTGCAAAATTGTCGCCGCTTTCGAGGGCTGTTGGGGCCCAGCGGAGTGGGGTCATACGCAGATTCAGATTAGACCTCGCCATCCTTGGGGGGCTGCGATCTGCAAAACTGTCGCCACTTCCGAGGGCTGCTGAGGGGGCCCAGTGGAGTGGGGTCATACGCAGATTCAGATTCGACCTCGCCATCCCTGGGGGGCTGCGATCTGCAAAACTGTCGCCACTTTCGAGGGCTGCTGAGGGGGCCCAGTGGAGTGGGGTCATACGCAGATTCAGATTAGACCTCGCCATCCCTGGGGGGCTGCGATCTGCGAAACTGTCGCCACGTTCGAGGGCTGCTGGGGAGCCCAGCGGAGTGGGGTCATACGCAGATTCGCCATCCTTGGGGGGCTGCGATCTGTGAAACTGTCGCCACTTTCGAGGGCTGCTGGAGGGCCCAGCGGAGTGGGGTCATACGCAGATTCAGATTAGACCTCGCCATCCCAGTGGGGCTGCGATTTGCGAAACAGTCACCAGTTTCGAGTGATATTGGAGAGCCCAGCGGAGTGGGGTCATACGCATATTCAGATTAGACCTCGCCATCCTTGGGGGGCTGCGATCTGCGAAATTGTCGCCACTTTCGCGGGTGCTGCTGGGGGGCCCAGCGGAGTGGGGTCATGCGCAGATTCAGATTAGACCTCGCCATCCTTGGGGGGCTGCGATCTGCGAAACTGTCACCACTTTCGAGGGCTGCTGGGGGGCCCAGCGGGGTGGGGTCATGCGCAGATTCAGATTCGACCTCGCCATCCTTGGGGGGCTGCGATCTGCGAAACTGGCACCACTTTCGAGGGCTGCTGGGGGGCCCAGCGGAGTGGGGTCATACGCAGATTCAGATTCGACCTCGCCATCCTTGGGGGGCTGCGATCTGCGAAATTGTCGCCACTTTCGAGGGCTGCTGGGGGGCCCAGCGGGGTGGGGTCATGCGCAGATTCAGATTAGACCTCGCCATCCTTGGGGCTGCGATCTGCGAAACTGTCGCCACTTTCGAGGGCTTTGGGGGCCCAGCGGAGTGACGTCATACGCAGATTCAGATTACCCCCATTCCATCCTTCTCCTGCCCCTCGTTCCTGTCCCCGTTATTCTTCGAGCCTGGGGCCTCAATCCTCGTTTTTTCGATCGTCGCCCTGTGAGTCGTGCAACGCATGCGCATCCCATGTAGTTTGCGCAGCAACTCACCGCGTCTACACTGTCGGTGTTCCTGCTAATGTGGGCCTACTCCTCTTGCCACTTGATGCACATGGGTTGGGTACGTCGCAGGGCAATTCTAACTCTTCGCCCGAAATCCCCCCTGCAGGGGGACAGGCCCGACCTAAGCCTTGTGGCGAGGGCGGCGCGGGGCGTCGGTGCGGCGGAGCCGTTCGACGAGCGCCCGGACCTTGCCTCTTGTCCCGCGGGCACGGTCTGGCCAGCGTCTGGGGCGGCCTGCGTCCGCTGAAGTGGGCACGGGGATGTTTTGCGGAGTGGCATAGAAGGAGGAGGAGGAGGAGGAGGAGGAGGAGGAAGACGACGACGACGACGAGGAGCAGGAGGAGGGGACAGGGAAGAGGAGGGAGGCAGACCTGGTGCCCTCGCACCGCCCCTGGCGTTGCACCATCCTTCCTTCTGTTGCGCCGAGTCCTCTTTCACTCCGCCGATGTTGGTGTCACAGGGGACATTGTTCCACAAATGTCAGCGGCGACGTTCGATCCATCGTTTTGTTGCGCACTCGGACAGGGGAGCTTGTTGTACATACGGGGGGGAGGGGGGGCGGGGAAGGAGGAGGAGGAGGAGCAGGCGGATGAGCAGGAGGCGGACGAGGAAGAAGGGGAGGAGGACCAGGTTGGGCAGGAGGATCAGAGGAGGGCGGAGGAGGGGAAAGAAGTGGGCGGCAACGATGAGGAAAGGGAACCGAAGCCAAAGATGTGCCCCTCGCTGGGGCGATAGCGACATGTTGAACGGCGGGATCGCCGCGACTGCACGTGCGTCAGGAGAGAATACGGAGTAGCATCTACATGCCCGTGCTTCCCTGCCCGTTCTCCCTTCCTCCTGCTGTTTGGGTCGCTTTGTTTGTGTCACTGGCACGGTGGCCGCCTGACCACCATATCCAGAACTATTTTGTATGGTTCGAGGTCGTCCTCGCCCACTTCGTGAGCGCTTGCATGGTGGAGTCCCCTTCCCACCAGTTGGGGATCTGGCAGTTTTCATCATCTGGCGCTCTCTCCGGAACAGGCATGACGCACCCCATCGACCCAAGTGTTGGGAGAAAAAAACATTGGGCAAACATGAAAAGAGCGGGAGCTGGGGACAATGGATGGATGAGAGAACGAAGGGAAAAGGGGGCGAAAGGAGAAGGGCGAGGAGGAGGAAGCAGGAGGAGGACGAGGAGGACAAGGAGTATGAGGAGAATGGAGATGATGACGGAGAGCAGGAGGGGGAGACAGGGGATAAAGAAAAGGGCGCGATGATAAGGTGCAGAGTAAGAGGAGGAGGAGGAGGAGGAGGAGGAGGAGGAGGAGGAGCAGGAGGAGGAGGAGGGGGAACAGGCGTATTGTGAATACGTAGTGGGGGTGGGTAGTATGATAGTGAATCCCATTGACAATAGGGATATGATGTGTGATGCCATGCATCCTGATGTGAGCGTATGATATTGTATTATTTGGAATGGAGCGAGGTTTCGTGTGATGAGCAGTTGTATGATCTGATGTAGAGATCATATGTGATGACGCGAGTCAATATAGCAATATTTGGAACTAGATGTAATGGGATGTGATTCCTGACGCGATATTGTGCGAGATGGTATGTGATGTGATCGTGACACGGGTGTGATGCAATGAGGTGGCATGTGGTCTTGTTACATGCAACGATGCGATATGATATGGTATGCCATGAGGCCAACGAAGTGGTATGAGGTGGTAGGGGATGTGATGGAGTGGAAGTGTTCAATACCTGATGTGCACCATGTGGTGCGATGGTGTGGTATGGGATGGTGCTGGATGATGTGCAATATGGCGAGATGCGATGAGGCGGCATGAGGTATGGCAGACGATGGGTGAAAGACGAACACCGGCGGACGAGAGAGTGCATACTACATCAGAGACGACTTGCCATATGTTTGATTTCCAGATGAGGGGTACATCTAACAAGTATCAGGGCGAAGAGGAGGAGGAGGAGGAGCAGGAACAGGAGGAGGAGGAGGAGGAGGAGGAGGAGGAGGTGGAGGAGGAGGAGGAGGAGGCGGCAAAGTCGGAGGAGGAGGAGCAGGAGCAGGAGCAGGAGGAGGAGGAGGAGGCAAAGTCGATGCCACCTCGAGCGCAGCGGCGCCCAGGCGATGGCCCAGCGCCTCCTGAACGAGAAGCTCATGGCGGACGAGAAGGCGCCGCCCTTCGAGAGAAAGATCGTCGGAGCGCACACGCGAGGGGCAACGCTAGGGAGGGACCTGGCATACGCAACCGTGGCAAAAGCTTCTTCAGTTTGCTATGATGAAGATCTCCCCCATCCCTCTCAAGATTCCTAACATGACATGATGCTGGGGTCATTCGGCGGGGTAGTTTCCGATCCCCGAGACGTGAATAATTCTGTTACCCCGAAACGGGATCGGAAACTACTCCGCGCCAAACCATATAAATTATCGAGCGGGATGCGATTGCGCGCGGAGTAGTTTTAGTAAAACTACTCCGAACTATTCCGCACCAGCGCGTCATTCCAAAAGGCAAATAGAAAGAAATGTTCGTCACGGCGATGTAGGGGGGTGCATCGACCTGGAATCGGCGATACATCGCCGATGGATCGGCGATAGGCCTCCGATAGTGGATCCGCACCTCATTGGGCAGGTTGGGGCTATCGGGCCCCTATCGGCGAGCAATGGGCGATTGGGGGTCGATGCATCCTCCCCTATGCCTATCCCCCCCTATCGCTGCCCCTGAACATGGGGACACCAAAATGTGGACCGCGCGGACCCCCGCGCGCAAGCTACTCGCGTAAGGGCCGCTGGAGCCCCTTTCTGCTCCACGCCATTGGCGCGCTACACTGGCGGCCCGCTCGGCGTGGCCTGTCGCGCGCGGGGCCCGATGCCCCTCCTCGTTTCGCTCGCCAGGGGAACGGTAGCCCCCTCCCCGGGTGCCCCCTTGGCGCTTGAGCGCGGGCCCCTGACGGCGCACGCCCACTCCTCCCCCACCATTTCCCCCGTCCCCCCCCCGGATCGTGGGTTCGCAGGGGCGGGTTCGATTGGAGGCGGGGTGAGGGAACAGACCCAGCTGGATGTTCACACGTCCTTCTTCCAGGGGCCGTCTGCAGCGATTTCCCCCAAATTAACCCCACCGCTGCCCCATACCCCGCCCACACCCGACCAGAGGACCCAAAAGTCTCACACTTTTTTGGTCTGCGGGTCGAGAGCGAGCCTCTTCTGGTTAAGAGCTAGGCGGGCCACGCGAAGCACTAATTGGGAAGACAGAGCACAGGCGGGCGGGGCCTCAGGCGGCCGGAGGGCGGGCCGGGGTGCAGGCGGTGCCGAGGAGCTAGCACAGCAAAAGTCTCAAACACTCAAGCGACGAAGGGAGATCCAGAACGGACGGGAGGGCATCCCGCAAGAGTGCGGTCCTCTCCGTGTGGAAGGGTTGAGAGGCTGTGCCCCCCCCCCCCCTCCTCTCCGCCGCGTCACCCTGCTCGCGCGGAGGCTCGTCTCCCTTCTTCATCCGCACCCAACATCCTCCTTCCTCTCGTCCTCCTCCTCCTGCTCCTCCTCCTCCTCCTCCTCCTCCTCCTCTTCCTCCTCCTCCTCCTCCTCCTCCTCCTCCTCCTCCTCCTCCTCAGCTTCCGTGCTGAGGCTGCGGCCTCTACCCTGATGGGCTTCCGAAACGTAGCAATGCTTCCGAGCGTGGACCCCGAACATTGAGTTCGTGCGATGTAGATCCGTAAGTTCTGCGGTGCAGGCTGTGCAGCGCAAGCTGAGTGGTGCAGGACAGGCAAGGACCTCTCAGGGGAAGCGCTGGTTGGGGAGCGCCGCCAGCCAGAGCACGAGGCGCCCGCGAGGCGTCCACTGGCGCACGCAGGGCGAAACTCCAGCAGGCCCGCACGAGGCGCCCACGACACGCCCACGCGGCGAAAACTCGGAAGCCCCAGCCAATCATCGGGAGCCTCGAGACGGGGGTCAAGGCAAACGGGGGTCAGCCAGGGCACCAGATCCTGCAGGATCCTGCGAAGATCCCCTCTGGCTGACCCGGGTTAGCGAGCCGCTCGTGGCCGCGAGGCGGCCGCGCATATTGGCTGACCCGGGTTTGCCCCGGGTCTGGATTGACCCGGGTCAGAAGATCCCCGAAATCACGTAGAGAGATCGATCAGGGCCGCACTCATTGGCTGGGGAAGAAGACCATCCGGAAGAGAGGTCGAGCGATGATGCGTCCGCGTCCGCGATTTCTGAGGCTCTGGCCAGTTGGAGCCTCCTGACCCTGAGGCTGGGGCGAGAGTGCACCTCACCCTCGACGAGCGGTATCGAAGACGTTGCTCGCTTGCAGCAACTGCCGCGTTTCGCGATCCCCGTCGAAGGGGGACGCGCTCGGGGCGAAGACTGCAGCCCAGACTGGCATGAGGCTGACTTTGGCTTCGGAAGGGGCTCGAGCTGCCTTGGATCCTTCCCAGGGCTGTCCCTCCAGCGCCCCCTCGCAAATCAAAGCGCAGTTGAGGGCAAGAGGGGCTGTCGTTCCCCATCTGAGGTTCCTCAGCTCCTCGCGTCAAGTTTTCGATGGGGAGACAGGGACTTGGCATCGCTCGGCCGTGTGCGTTTTTCCTCGGCGAGGGCCATCGAGGAGCATCCTCGATCATCTGGCGAAAAAGCCACGCACGAAAACGAAAAAAAGCACAGGGAGTGGACGTCCGAGCGATGGCGAGGGGAGGGCGGGCTCCGGGGGGAGACTTCTTCGCGGCCGAGTGGCCACGGCCTCTCGCACCCCGAGCGGACGACGCGTGGGCAGGGACGCGCGGAGCGGGGAGAAGGGCGGGCAACGGCACAGAGGGGGGGAGGGAGAGAGGGGGGGGACGTCGACGCAACAGTGCGCGGAGACTCAGCGAGCGAAGAACGGTATGAAATAAACTTTCTCGCTGTCGGGGGCGCCTGTCCCAGGGCGGCTGGAAAGTTTATACCCCTACGGTGGCACCGACAGCGAGAAAGTTTATTTCATACCGTTCTTCGCCCGTTCAGAGACGGGAGCGAGAGAGGGGGCCGCGCAGAGAGAGGAGCGAACGGGAAGCGTCGACGCGGAATCGCTCTGCTCATCGCCGACGAGGGCGTGGGTGGCCACGGCGCCCGGAAGCCAGCGGGGGCATCATCGGCGACGCGCCGTCGGCTCGAATGGCCGCGAATCCCTGCCGCCCTCCTCTCCTCTTCCCGTTTCCTCCTCTCGTCCTCCTCCTCCTCCTCCTCCTCCTCCTCCTCCTCCTCCTCCTCCTCCTCCTCCTCCTCCT